CGTCATTCGCTCTTTGATTATATAAGCGTGCAAGAGGAACGACCGAACGAAAACGAAAAGCGCGTCCACGCAGCAAAACTTAGACTACGACACATTCGAAAGTGTTAACAGGACTATCCGCAAACTATTCGAATCACTCAGATGTTTTGTACCTTAGAATTTTATTCAATCACGCATTATATCGTATAATTGTATATTGTTAAACATTCGTCGTACGTGTTAAATAACGATAAAAATGTAAAAAAAGAGAGCGAATATGAAAACGAACACTTTACAGCGACCGCTTTATAGCCGTTCAAGTACAAAAAGGAGGAGCGCACGGTAAAGATATTGGCTCTAGCGGAGGCCGCGTTCGCACCTATCGAATCGATTCGTACGCTCGCGGCGCTACGACCATACTAGAAATCGGTCGAGTAATTCGTTTATTCGAGGCAAACGGAGAGGTTGATCGGTCGAGACGCTCGCTCGAGCGCGAACGAATGGCGCGTGATCGAAAGCCTGACACGTTTGTCGAAACTTTTTAATAGAGTTCTATTGAAATTGAATTTCGCAGAAAGTTACTCTAACGCTTGTTGACAATTTTCCAGAGTTTACGGCCGGCTTTATTTCCACGCAACGCTCCCGATCCACGCTGTGTCGCCGTTGTTTCAGGTTCTGTACCGGTTCTCGCTATACAGTCCCTGTACTGTACCGAGTATACTGCCTGTTATCGTGCCTAAGCACAACATCCGATCGTTTCCAAGTTAATCAGCAACACGCGAAACTGGCGACAGGCTTGTGCATCGATCGGACGTGATATCCTCGTAAACAACATTACAAATCATTGAATGAATGGTCGTGGTCGATTTCGAGCGATGGTTAGTTATTAACGCAGATATCCTTAGTCTCGATATCATCGATTAATCTTCATCGTCTATTCTGCGGTCCCGATAAATAACATATTTATTCGCACCTGTTCGTGTGACTCGTGTATTAATCGTAAACTTGAAAATACGTCGTGGAATAACGTAATTATAGGGTCTTTGATGGATGAACTTCCGCTTCGCGAACGAATTCTTTAACATTGTAGAAATTAATCCAGATACGGCTGAATTCTTTTCGTAGCATCTTTTTAAATTAGTCACATTTTCTCTTCGTTTGAAGCTTCAATCGAATACGATGAATACATTTTTGTACTATTCTTGGCTACTTTTTATAAATGGATTTACCCATTCTAAACGTTTTCGGGTAATATTGTAAAAATCGCGAAATGTAATAAAAATACATTGCAGTCGCCGTTTTGCAAGCTTGATTGGCATATCTAAGTTAACCCTTGAAAACTATGATTATAAAAGAACGTCTGAAATGACTGGAATGGCTGAAATTCCAGCGCAATACATAGTTTAGAAATCAATAACGTTAAACACAACAAACATGGTTTTTATTATTGTCACGTTCGATATCGAGCGAATATGTTCAACACCGTAATTCAATATTATCTTCAGTATTGAGATAGCTATGTTACTGATAATTACAAATAACGTTGCTCGTTGCGTTACTATGAAACGATAATGTTAAAATATACTCGAGGGATAAAATTTCACTCTTTTGATCATAGTTTTCGAGGGTTGCGATTAAACGATGAGAATTTGTACCCTTGGAAATTTTGATAAAATTTTATTCAACGATAACGAAAAACCCGATTCGTAGGAAAGCGCGTAGAAATTAAAAATTAGTATCGTAAATCTGTGCGTAAGAGTTTCGCGCTTAGCAACGATTTTTGCTACATCGTAGCAGAAAGTTCAAGGGCGATCAAAGGAATCAGCTTACACGAGTCGTAAGGGAAATGTTGTGTATTTAAAAAAAACCTGTTGCAATTTGTAACCTGGTTCAGGTGAACGATCGATAAAGATAGAAAGAAAGGGAGGAACTTCCCTTCGATTCGTTCACTTTTGCCACGAGAAAGTCTCGTTTCCGCGAGATGGTGCCAAAACGCGTAGATATTTGTCGCCCCATTTTATAGATTGTAAGATCGTTCTGATCGATTGGTGGGAACGTACAACGTAAACGAGCGACGTAACGATCCCCGACGATCGTCCGAACACCTGTACAAACCACCCTAGATCCGAGTCAACCACGTCAATTTTGGTGCCGCCTAGATCGAACGATCTACGACGCGCACTCTTTTCCACCGTACGCGACACTTTAGTTTTTCTAAGTCGCAATACCTAAAGCGAGCGATCAACGATTCGCGCGAGTTCCGCTTCGACTCGCCACAATGTCGTACCAGCGAGTCAAATTGTCAACGTGATCGCAGTAAACAGCTCGTTATCGATAAGATCAAGGTTCGATATCGAAAGGTCGAGGGATATGCGCCGATATAAGAAAGAAAGCGAACGTAACGGATACATTTGGTGGAATTGTTGCGGTGTGCGTCGAGTCCTGAAGGATGTCGTACCGTACTCGAAGAAATCAACGAATTCACGTAACAAAATCTCCTCGGTATCGGGAAATTCGTGAATGACCGGCGACTCGGCTCACGCTGAATCTTATTTCGTTGAGAATTTCCATAGTCTATGAATCTAGATAGCTAGACAAATGCAGCGATCGAATGAAAATTTCCGGTTTCGAGGAGCAGTTAACGCTCGACGACGCGAGGAATTATTTTGTTTGTTGATATTTAACAGAGACCTGCGTGATATTTCAGGGCATTTTCTCTTTTCCTCCTTTGCTTTAATCCTTCTTCTCCACTTTCTTCTCTCAACGTACATACGCGTACGAATGAAAAAGAATACGCGTAAAATATACCACGATCGCACTCCTTGCTCTCTTTCTCCTTTTCCAACTGTTTCTCTTCCGCCCACACACCACACGCGCACACACACATACACACACACACCCACCCTGCCCTCCTCCCCTCTCTCTCATAGACATACGTATACACGCACGCTGTTTCTGCGCTAAGAGAAAGAGAACGGTTAAAAGGATGAACACGTTGATTTATCGTCGTAAGAAACAGAGATCTGGTGTCTGCGTGACAAGCGCGCCGAAACCGAAACGAGGATACGTTTTCGTCGCGACCCGTGCGTTTAAAAAGGTTGACAAGACGACGAGAAACGACAGGAGAGAAATGCACACAGCGGATGTAGGGAAACGTCTCGACCTCTGATCGATCGTCACATCGAACGCGCGCATGCGAGGATTTTAGGAAAGAGAAACGGAAGGAAGGAAACATTGTAATATTTGTATATAGCCATGTTATCGTGGTAAAGAGAATTACCTATATTATTATAAATATTACGCATATATATACATATATACGTGTACGTATATGTTTATATATATACATACATATTATAATATATATGTGCATATATATAACGCATATTTAAGTCTGTAATGCCGTTACGTTGTTGTACCATAATTATTGTGAACACCATTTCTCAGACATCGATTTTTTTAAATAAAAAGAAAGTCTCAATATCGACATGCACTAAGTACCAAGCAGAGCATCCGTCGGAACAAAAACATCCACCGCACAGAACGATCCGGTTTCTTATCTTATAACAAGATTAGCCACCATTTTTTCGCCTCGTCTCGTCTTCAACCGCGTCGCCTTCTTACGCTCACCTACTATGACGTTTTCACGCTCGGATTTTCACCATTTGCGCTCGTTTTAGTCCTTGCTCGACTGCGCGCCTACCGCGAAATTATCACGCGACCTACGCTGACCTTCCAAAACGCTTGCAACAAAAAGAAGAAACGTCAATTTTCCTGGCTTGAGATTTATCAATTATATCGCGTTCGGAAATCAACGCGAGCTTGACCACGGCTTTTCGCCCCGCAACGAAACAGGATCGAGAAAGGACTGGATGACGGCGCGACGATTTTTGTAACGATCGGTGCCTGAAACGTTTCACCAACGAGCCTTTTTTGTCAGACTGATGTTCGTCTTTAATCTATCTAACTAAAGATCGGCAGCGCGCTGTACACGCTCTCGCACGACCAATTCACGAAGTCAGTCTGCGACCAGAGACGCGACGAAGGAGGCTTGAGCGCGATGCGCGCTCGGTATCGCGTTTAAACTCGCGCGAACCAATCGTTTTTGGCGATGGAAAGTTAGCACGCTTTCTCTGCGATGCTCCATCAACCCTTTAACGGTGTAGCTCGAGAGAGATTCAGGCAAATCGTCAAATATAGCGCTGTAAATTAGACCGCAAAAAGGCGAATGTTGCGCTAACGCAACATTTTATTTAGAACTTTTTTTTTTATTAATTCACATCGTTGAATTCCTGTTTTTTAACGTGACGGTTACGAAAGGGAACTTCATGGATTTATTTAGTATTTCTTTTTATTATTCTTTCACCTAGACCTTATATTAGTTATAGAAAACTTTCGCCTTAAACCGTGGACGGTTTTTTACATTTCTGGTTTACTTGGTGGGCTTCTTCGAGACATTTGTTGTTTTAATATACCTGGATAAAACAATATGTAAATTGTCTTACATATTTCTCTCGAGTAACAGTAGCAAGTTTGGCGATAGGACAAACGAGGCTTTACAAATAAGTTTCATAAATCGCAGATCTTTCGGTTAACCAATTTTCACATAACACGACAAACTTGTAAAAGCGAAGCGTGCAGCCTCTAATCTGTAACTGGTTAATTTAGTGATATTATTAATTGGTAAATTAATATGCAAAATGGCGCAGAAATGCGAAAAACGAGGTTCGAAGGTAAATTTCCTCATTACACTGTCAAAGGGTTAATAGAATTTTTATTTCCAATCCTTTCTGCAAAGTCTATTTTCCAACAGTTCGCAGAGCCTACGATAGAGATTTTTCTGCGAAACACGAGACCAAAATATCAAAAAATCATTCGCGTGAATTTAATCGCGATCGATCGAGCGAACGCGGCCAAGAACGCGAAACGAGCGAATCGAGATCGAACTTCTCGCTAGCGAGTAACGTTCGTAGTGAAATGTCGATCTCGATGATACTTTCCAGTACGTTTTCGAGTTGCTAGCTGAAAGAAAACTCTGCGCATTTTAAAGACGGCGCACGTCGGCGCGATGCACGTACGAAACGAAACGAAACGAAACAAAAAGAAAAGAAAGCAGAAAAAAGGGAAAAAGGAATAAAACGCATTGAAAGATTTCTCACACGACACCGTGGTCCTTCTGCCCGTCGATGTGTAAATAATTGTTTCATATTGTTGTAAAGTAGAACGGTGATATGGAGAGATGGATGGTACAAGTAGGAGACGTCGGTACTCGTTTGCCGAAAGTTTAAAAGTCAAAAAGTCTCCCCCGTAATGTAAGCGCACAAAAAGAAGGTTAACGATCTATGTGTCTTCTTCGTGTTTAATCGTATCTTTGTTATTAAATCTTGAACGTCTTACGAATGTTTATCTGTGTATTTGCCTAGGCACCTGTCTTTCTTTCTCTCTTTTCCTTTAGTGCCGCCATCCAACCACGTGGATCGTCCAGGTAATTCAAATATATATATATATCTTTTTTCTCAATAAAATTCCGATATACGAATTTTGATTTTTATTGCTACATCTCGTCTACGACGCGCGTCGCTTGTCTCAAAGTGTTTTTCTTTATTATTTAACAGAATTGCGCACGGAAGTTTGAACAGCATCGACTCGTTCTACTTAATCGGATCGAAGATGCAACAGGACGTGCAGTTTATTCATCGGTGGAGGATTAAATATTCCAAACTATGCGCGAAACTGTACGTCACACGACGTGACTTCCGTTTTAAAAAATGATATGATAAGGTACGAGAAGAATATTAGAAACGCATTGTATTCCAAGGTATTCGAAATACCGAACTGTATCAACGACTGATTATATGCACCGATTACCAAAACCAATGTTTCTCTATCAACCATTAACACTTTGTCTTCTTACAAAATTTCTCTGCTCTTGACAAGTCTTAAATAGACTTACGTGTACTCTATAAACGAACCTCTACAGCTAATTAATGTACCTATCGTTTGCTAATATTGTTTTCCATCGAATATCTTTCGATTAACATCGCTGCACGCGACGTCAATTGAATCGGCGTGAAATTTCGTATCCTTTTTTAATCTAGCGCTAGGTCTTGGAAGCTGGAGGTCTGAGGACTCGTTTGATCCTTTTAAATCTAGCTAACGCCATCCCTGGATCTCCATTCAAGCCGCCGAAAGCTTCTCCGTATTCCGTCGCCAGTGGCCCCATTTCTTCGTTACTACCCGTTAGCGACGCCACGGAATCGGATCTTTTCTCTAACAAAGAACCCTGTTCTGCCACTGCCTTTTCGTCTTCCGTTATCTTGGACGCGCTCGGCTACCGACGGAACCATTCGTTTAATGACGCTCGTAGAAATTAACCTGTTAACCGGGAAGACGAGTTAACTCGCCGTTTGAATAATCTCATTATTTAACCATCCCATTTCTTTTTGCCGAATTATAAATTACATCACGTTTGTACAAGAGTACTAGCTGTACAAATTTTCCCTTCTGCAAAGACTGAGACTCGTGTCTACGGTGAATTTTTAATTTCGTAATTCCACAAAAGTTTAAAGAACAACCCGGTCAACAAGTTAACGACGATTAATTCCCTTCTTTCACCTTTGCATCAGCAAGTGCCCCTCGTAAGTTCGAGTCCAACGTGTAATCAGCCGGTAGACTTCCCTCCAGCTTGACGTTACGTTGTTCCGGGATCAACATAGAATTTTTAGATCTTCTTTTTCTCTTCTTCTTCCGATCGGTTTTCGTCAAAAACGCCTGTCGCGCGTGTTTCTTTGGTATCGTTTCCGATTGCATTATCGATCGCTTCTTCACCGTTCTCGGCCAAGATTTTTTATTCGAACTCGAGTCACTAGCGTCTCGCGTCTTTTCCTGACCGCTGTCTTGTCTCTTTTTCCTCTTTATCGACTGTTTCTCCACGTTATCACGAATCCGAGACTTGCCGGAATTTCTATCCGCGACAGATCTCTTAGGCGCGTCATCTCCGGTCAGTGCGACCTCCGGAGCCTGTTCTTCCTCGTCTTCTTCCAATTCGCGCAATTCGTCGAATCTCGCGTTATTCTCCTCGATGTCCTTAAGGCGTTGGTTCTCCTCGATCTCTCGTTTAATCTGCTCTTTGATCGAATCGATCTTTCGCTGGATCTGCTCCTCCACCCGTTTCTGATAGTCTTCGTCTATCTGTTCCGCAGTCTCAGCTTCGTTCTTCGAATTCGCTAATTTCTCAGAATCATCCGCAGCCGACGTTTCCGCCGCGTTCGCCACAACTTCCACTTTCGCCGCGACTGCGCTGCTGGCTACGTCGGCAATTTTCGACTCCTCAGCTTTCGAGGTTTCTTTAACGCCAGAAGCGTCACCGACCAACTCGTTGGCTGCCTTGTTGTTACCGGACAAATTAATTTCCCGCGTTTTCGCGTCTCCTGTAGCCTCTTCGCTTCCTTGAGCCAGGATTTTCGCAGTTTCGCTGCCTTCGATCGTTGGTTTTTGGTCGTTTGACGTCGGTGGCTGCTTCGAATTATCCGTTTCGCGATCGCAATTGATCTTCGACGCTTCATTCTCGTTCTTGTCAACTACGTTCCTTTTCGACTGATCGTTGGAATCCTTGTCAGCTTTGGTTACTCGAGCCTCGGCTACTTTGCTATCCTTGTCAGTAGCGGTGTCTCGTTTTAAGGACGTCTCTGCGGTTTTTTGATCGCTAGACAGGTCGCTAGACGTTGCAGGATTCGCTGCTTTCCCAGCAACCTCGGCGTTGTCCGTTTCTTTCGAATTTTCGTGGTCCCTCTTCACTCGAACGTCACCGTGCACCTTTCTTTTATCAGTTTCTTCGTCCGATGCATTGTCTTCTAAGGCTGCAGTGTCTTCTGCAGCTGCAAGAGCGTCGTCGTCCATCTCTTCGTAGTCCTCAGAGCCGGAAATTCCTCTTTTCACCACGTCTTTCGATTCGAAGTCATCGTACAAGTTAGATCTTTCTTCCTGATCGATAAATCTCGCAGAATCTTCGTTTACATGGTCGTTGCCCTTGTACCTGAACATTTTACACATAAGTTAACTTATATCATACGCTTTACGTATTATGCGATAACGTTGCATGTATCGTATCGGGTTAAATAATAAGTTGATTCGTCTTCGAAGAAAAGCGATTTCTATAAGTTGCTAAGTGACACCAATTTTCCGCCAAGATTCTACTTTCTAAATTATATCGTCAAAAATATAAATTTCCGTTCCACGGTCTACTGGCAATCGTTGCTCCTACACGCGAAAATACCTGGTTTCTTTGTGTTTTGAACCAACTGCGGACTCGTCTTCAGCTTCGTCCGCGTACTCGAATTTTTCCTGATCGACAGGAGCCTCGTAATCTTTGTCTGGAAGCTTCGGAAGATCTCTGGAAGAGCGATCGATTCTCGAAGCACTTTTACCAGCTTTGTTAGAAGTCGAACGTTTTTCGTCCTTCGCCGCTTCGTTCAAACTCTTCGTAGTGCTCTTTTTAACAGCGTTATCACGTTTCACCCGTGCACGCTTATCAGCGTCCTCGACCTGCGCAGCTTTGCCGCTCTCTTTAGCGTCGATGTTGCGTTTCGAATTAATTAGATCGTTTCTTTGTTCACCGGCTGACCGAAAAATTCGCTCGATCGATGGATCTAATTTGCTGTTTTGGTTCTCGATTACGTAACCATTGGCTTGCGCGTTACTGAGAACAGAAAAGAAGCAACCACAAGATGTCTAATTGGATATAAAGAAACAATTTATGGGTGACGGTAGAATTCCATTTGTACATAAACCTGTCGAGTCGTTCCATTCCATTTAATTGGAGCTCATAAGTAAATAAGTAATTATATTATATATTCTGATTATTTATATTTAATTGTTATATAATTTACTATATTATACACATATATATAAGGAAATCGATAGCTGTATAATAAAATATCGATGGCTGAAGCTATAAAAACTTGTGTCAATTTGTCAGAAACTATTTGTTATTATTATTATTTTATTAGTTATTAGCTTTTGCTCGCTTAATTTACGCGATGAAACCACTCGTAATATGATTCTCCGTTTATTTCGAGCAGCGTATCCTAAATTCGTGTTCAGAGAAGTGAACTCGATCGGCAAAAGTTCCTTTAAGTTCTAACGGTAAGTAAAAATTTCGTTGAAACAGATGCTACGGTTCGTACGAACGAAATTCTACTGTATGAAATTGGAGAAACAGCAACGGATAATAAATTACAGATAGACGAAGAAGAAACGCGTAAGGCATACTTCGGTACCTGGATGCGTCTTTGAAAAACTCTGGATAGCAGTAAGAAACGAACGATTGAAGTATTATCGACAGGACGAGGATGCAGGCACAGTTTAGCTGGAATCGTTCGTACATGGTGTTGCAAAAGGAGCATCGTAATGTAGATTTCTACGAATAACCGGACGTGCGAGCTACTTTCATATTTTGATTTTTACTGATTTTTGAGAAAACGTATCGGACGACGTTGCTGCTGCGTGAATATGGAGCAGCATTCGATCGAGTTCGATCGAGAGGCTGCTTTTGTTACGATCGATGCCACGTAGTCATGGCAATGAATCACGTAATGATCGGTGAATCCTCGTTTTAACACTTTGACTGTCACGCCGGAATCACATGTTTTGGTTCAGAACGCCACGGGAGTATTCTTATTATTCAAAGCATATAATGACAAAATAATAATAAATTGATGATGTAAGACAACATTCTTCTCCGATGGACCGTTTATTTTATTGGTGGTCACGGATGACGCCTTGGTAACAGTTGACAGCCACATATTATAACAAGACATCGTTTATTTCAACAAACCATTCGCATTCGTTATTTCGTCGTAAGCAAAACGTCCTTCTGGACTGTTGAAACGTGTAAAAGATATTAGTAAACAGTATTTGCTCATTCTATATATAATAGCAAGGTATGTTCGCACTTCTAATTTCAATTATATGATCATAAAGCTGCATTTACGATTATTTTCTGAGGTGTGTTTACAATAATATTCGTAGATTACCCATCAAAGATATGGATGCAAACATAGTGCACTATTAGATGCAAGATTTGTTCTCATTTTTTTTTTTTTTTTTTTTTGATGTTCTAACAAAAATGTTTAATCGTTCAATGGGGCACTTTTCATTTCAAAGTATCTTCTATTTATCGGTTATATTCAAAATGCCCTAACTGTCAATTTTCATTCAATTTTTACAACTGTAAGAAGTTCAAGCGTTGGCTGGTCAACGTAGCAGTCAAAGTGTTAGACGGTATCTTTACGTTCGATTGGAAAGTGTTAGCGAATTTCGAAATTTGATTTAGGCGTTGATCGGAAATCTTATTATTTACTTATCATTATCGTAGAATTGTTACAACTGTTTTCGTTTCAGCGAAAACCTGAAACTTAACTTTCTAATTGTTCGAAGCGAAACGACTGTTCGTCTGTTATCGATGAAAATTCGCCTCGATGTAACTTCTGCGCGTATACAGTTTGCGAAGGTTGGATTTGTGAGAAAGTAAATTACGATACAGAAAATAATTTCTTTATTACGAATTAGACACGATGACACGTTATACCTACTTACACATAAACCATATTCGAACGATGTTTCTCACTTCTCTTCCACTTGTCCGCATTGTTACAATCCGTAGAAACTCATTCGACGAAGTCGTGATAATAACTTCGGATACAAACATTTTATAACAAACGGTTGCTTTCTAGTTTCGTTGACAACGCTGATAAATTCGATCGCACGTATTTACAACATCTTAATGCGATCGGTGTCATCGTGATCCTGTTTGCTTCTGTAAGTGTTACGATAGAATTCTTTCACTCGATGATACGTAAATCTTAGTATACATACTCGAGTTGTTCATCGTTCGCTGTAGAATTAGTAAGAAAAGGCTAAACGCATAAAATATAAGTTGAACGTGTAATCATCTACTTAAATCAGGTTAACAGAACGAGTTAGTTATACGTGTAGGAAAACGAAGAGCACACGGGGAAAACGTGACAAGTTTATTTTTACCGAGCTCTTAGTTTCTCGATGTCAGCTGGCGGCTAAGAAGCGACACAATTTCTCAGGTTTAAAGATATACACCGCTTATCGTATTCTTTCCTCGTGGTCTTCGAATAAAATAAAAGAAACTGTAGCCAAGTCCATGGAGCTCTCGTTGTTCACATTCCTCGCGAACAGCTCTTGGTCTGGTGAAATGAAAATCTTGTTTCGTGACTCGAATGCAGTTACGTGTAACCATACACCTACGCGTATAATCTATCACCTATCAGACGATCATCTATTACGATTTAAACGTTATCAAAAGGACTAAATGCAACGATTATATAAAATACAATTGAAAGAAAAGCCAGAGAATAACCGAAGTGGTACTCGAGGAGGGGAAATGCAAGGTCAAGAAGTAATTGCGAAACATTTTTATTCGATCGACAACACATAACACCTGGTGTAAACGGATCAAAGTAAAAAGGCGAAAGAATAAAAAAAGATAGGAAACAAAAAATGAATAATATAATAATTCGTTCCATAACGGGAACAAGCATCGTAGCGTCGAACGAACCGATGAAACCGGAAAACGCTCGACTTCTTCGCGAAGCCCTGCCGGAAATGTTAACGTCGCAACGTACATGACTCGTCTATTCGAACGATACTGAGGGTTAATGTAAATCACGGGGTTGTTAAAGAAAACATAGAGGACGGGGGATGATACGGTTATCGGTAGACTGTGGATGTTTATACCGTAATTGATATTTTCATACTTTCTACGAGTACAAGTAGAATGATGCAACGTAAGATTTCTTTTTCATTCGTTAAATACGAGGACTACGGGGGAAAAGTACGACAAGTCCGTTCTTTTTTTTTTATTTTCCGATTTTTATCGAACGATTTCATATATTTTTTAAAACGAAAAATCTCGTTTTGATATGAAACAGCTAAAGAAAGGCATAAGTTGATACGTAGATTCGCAGATACGCGTAAGCTTGTCGACGATAGTCGATGGATATATCGTAAGGAAGGAATATCAGCTAATTTAATCGAATTTCAGGAAAATGACAGTAGCCCGAAAATCATGCGCGAAAAACAGTTTTAATATAAATTTGCTTTATTATAAAAAAAAAAACCGTCGTATTTCTCACCTGTGACGGATATATCAGATGTTCCCGCGCGTTATATGCATTTTCCTACTGTTAAATTTTCCACAAATGCATAAGCATCCGCAGTCTATTTGTCAGCAAGGCGAAAGAAACGGTTAAATATAAAAACGAAGCTGGTCGAGAAAGAACGCTACGTGCGACTTGAAACGTCGCATCTATTCTAAATATCGGTCGAACCTAATGTTTCAATCAGATTCGTCCGTATCACGGATTTAAGCTCTAGTTATTGCTTTGTAATACACGTGGCTTAAGGTGAAAATAAATCTTAACTCGATTTTTCATCTGCATGTCATCTCGCATCCGCATCTCTCAGTTCAAGTATCATTAGTCATTTTTTTTTTTTTTTTTTTGATCGATAACCATTTTTATATCGACAAAGTACTTTTTTCAACATCGCGCTCACCTTATCCTTTTCGAAGGATAAAACTATCATTATATTGACATGGTACGGATATATGCATATGTGTGTATGTATATATTTTATGTATGTATACGTTTACGCGCATAAAAGTGTACTTTTAGAAGTAATTCACACAGTTCCATATGTCGGTATCGATCCTCTGTTGCAACGATCACGCCGATTACAGAGCGACGAACGGGATATCTAGAGATTCTTGACGAAATAAATATCGAACGACACGAGTTCATCACAGCCCGCAAATTTAGCTTAGACCTAATCCCAATCGAGATGTATAACGAACCTCCGATGTTTGGAGTGTACGCTACCGATCACAAATTTGGAATTACGTACTTTTTTAATTGCATTTACATCGAAATTTTCGCTAATTTTCGTGTTACTTTGAAATCCACGCTTTACGTATTAATAGCAATTTCCGTCATTTGAATAAATATTTAGCGAAACAAGTTTTTAAAATAATAGAAAATTCCCAGCCGAGATTTCTTTTTAAATCTCGGACTCTACCGGTTTCGATATCGATTCGAAATTAATACTGTAAATATCGACAATGATTCCTTTCGCTTAGATAAATCTTCAACGAGAGAGCTTTCCCGGTTAACGCAAAATTCTTAAATCATTCAATTACAATGATTCCAAATTTCCGACCAGTACTGTACGCTTCATCCAGAAGAAAATATTAAATGTACTGAAAAACCTCGCGAAAAGAAACAAATAATATCTCGAGACCCTTCGACTGTTACAGTTGCATTTATCGTATAATCTCTATGGCAGAAAAGGAAACTTATTTTAATTAGAGATGACGGGCATATAGAACTTGTGCTTCTGCGTGTCTCTGGTGTGCTTGAAAGGCGTCTGTTTAGCCTCGATAAGCGCCGCAGGACAGGGTCCTTTGTGTCTGGGCGTGTACTCCTTCTTGTACATGCTCGAAGTGACCATGCTTCCATCTCCTAAATTGATGTGCGAGACGTTTGCCTGTCTCTGTACTCTTTCTACCTTTTGACTGGTGAAATTTCCATAATTCTTCGCCTCACTGTGAGAATAGAACTTGCCACCTACTGTTAAATTGTCCTGTCGAACGATTCTCTGTGGACGTTCGTAGGTCGACGACGCCCAAGGATTTCCTTCTTTAGTGCTGCGATGTAAAGAGGTCAAACTACGTCGATCGCTGCTCTGACTCGAATTGCTGATGTACTGGCCGCTCTCTGCCAAATTCGAGATACTCTTCTTTTGATCAGCGGCTGTAGAAGAGATCGTGTGAAGAGCCTCCGTGGACGAAGTGGCTCTGCGTCTGTGAAGAACCGAATTAGTAACGTCCGCGGACGATGAAGAGATTACGTTCTTCCTGTGGTGACTGGTCTTCGTCACAGCACCGTCCATTTGCAATTTCTCCATAGATTGGCCGCTGATGGCTTGCCTGAACTCGGCACTGCTCGTCTGGTTGGAATTATAGCGAGCTTGGCTGGAAACTGTGTGCTGTTCGTGTTGCTGCTTCTGTCTGGTCGCAGTCTGTCGAGACTCGATGTGCTGAGTGTTAACGTAGTCCCTTTTGCTTGTCTCTTGCTGATGTTTTTCGATTTGCTGCCTCTGTTGTTCGCTGTATCTTCCATCGACCATGACACCCTGGTGGTTTTGCACATCCGCGAGAGACCTGTCGTCGATAACTCGTCGCGTTTGAGTCACATTCTGCGATCTTAAATGTCTTTCGCTTGACTGTGCTCTTTGATGGTGTTCGCTTATGTAGTGCTGATTGCCTGAAACAGGTGACAGAGACTTTCTAGAGTCTGGCTGAGGACCATCGGGTTGTATGGCACGATGCTCCGTTATCACACGTTGAGATTGGTGCTGAACGTTCTGAGTCGATGAGATTCTCTCTCCACTCGTTCTCTTCGTAGTCGTAATCGTCGTTCCATTTTCCAGGGTCTTCGATTCAGATGAAACGTTTCTCCTGGTATCTGTTTCCATGCTGTTTATCTTTGCGGCAACTTCCTTGGCAGTGCGTTTGGTGAAAGTGTTGTAGTTTCTCTGAGTAGTCGTAGACATCGTAGAAGTGTCGTCTCCTAAGGTAATCGAAGACTCCATGTGATGTCTGCGAGTTACAGCTCTACCAGGCGGAGAAACTTCTTTCTTAGCTGGCGTAAACGTGTCTCTGGAGGTTGTCTTCGTTTCCATGGCACCTGTGCTCACCTTCAAATTATCCTCGTGACGTTTTATCTCAGCGCGTTCTCCACGAACCACCGTGTACGTGGATCTCTGGGAAGTGGAGTCTTGGAACTCGCCGATCATCTTCAAGTTATCCTCTCGACGAATTACCTCCGCTCTTTCTCCTCTCTTCGGTGTGAAATCGTCGCGAGGTCTTCCGACGAAGTCTCCTTCTGGTTTCAAATTGTCCACTTGACGAATTGGAGATCGACGTTCTATCGGACCAACCTTCTCCGGTGTCCTACGCTCGAAATCACCTTCTGGTCTCAGGTTATCGGGATGTTTAATAGGCGAACGTCTTTCACCTGGTCCCAGAGGAGACTTTCCAGGCCTTTCGAAGTCTCCTTCCGGTCGAAGATTGTCAGGATGCTTTTTAACCGGCGTACGTTCGCTGACTACGTACGTGTAATCATCTTTCCTGCGTACATCGATAAATTCACCTTCCATCTTGAGGTTATCCTCGTGCTTCCTAACATTCACTCTTTCCACCTTCGTGATCTTCTTGTAATCGTCCCTGGATCTACGAACGTCTATCTCTCCTTCCATTCTCAGATGATCCTCGTGTCGACGAACTTCCACTCGTTCTCCGTTCACGTGTCTATAGTCATCTTTAGAAGATGGACTGACATCCATCTCGCCTTCTGGCCTCAGATTATCTTGCGGCTTTCTAACAGGCGCTCGTTCGCCTCTCTTAGGTGTGAAATCGTCTTTAGGCACCATATAGAAGTCTCCTTCGGGATGAAGGTTGTCCTCGTGACGAATCGGTGTGCGTCTCTCAGCTGGACCAACCTTCTGAGGCGTTCGTTTAGCGAAATCACCTTCAGGATGTAAATTGTCCTTTGGTCTCTTCACGTCAGCTCGATCCCCTTTAGTTGGCGTGTCTTGTCTTGGCCTTCCAATAAAATCTCCTTCTGGGTGCAAATTATCAGGATGTTTAATCGGTGTTCTTCTCTCTGCAGGACCAACAGGCGCCTTCTCGGGTCTGTCGAATTCTCCTTCGGGTCTAAGATTATCTTTAGGTTTCTTAATCGGAGCCCTTTCTCCTTTGGTTGGCGTAGGAGCTTTAGGACGCTGAGCGAATTGGCCTTCAGGTTTTAAATTATCAGGATGCTTGATAGGCGTTCTTCTCTCAGCTGGACCAATCGGACACGTATCGGGTCTATCGAATTCTCCTTCGGGTCTCAAATTATCTTCGTGTCTAATAATCTCGCTACGTTCACCGCGCGTCACTCTGTAGTCATCTCGCCTTCGAATATCCACGAATTCGCCCTCCATCTTCAGGTTATCCTCTCGACGAACTACATCGACTCTTTCCACCTTGGTGATCGTCCTGTAATCGTCTCTTGACCGACGTACATCCATATCACCCTCCATTTTCAAATTATCTCTGTGAACGACTATCTCTGTTCTCTCGCCCTTTGTAGGCTTATAATCATCCTTAGGCTTGCCTATGAATTCACCCTCCGGTTTCAAGTTATCCTTTGGCTTCTTCTGAACCGGCCTATCAACCCGTTTTGGAGTAAAGTCGTCTTTAGGTCTTCCTACGAATTCTCCTTCAGGATGAAGATTGTCTTCGTGACGTATAGGCGTTCTCTTCTCGGCTGGACCAACAGGCGACTTCTGCGGTCTCTGGAATTCCCCTTCCGGTCTTAGATTATCCTTCGGTCTGGTAATATCCGCACGTTCGCCCTTCAATGGCGTTTCTTCCTTAGGACGACCAACGAATTCTCCCTGTGTTTTTAAATTATCCGGATGTTTAATCGGACTGCGCCTCTCAGCAGGACCCATCGGCTTCTTCTCTGGCCTGTCAAAGGTACCTTCCGGTTTCAGATTGTCCTTTGGCTTCTTCACGTCTGCTCTTTCACCTTTCTTCGGTGCCTGCTCCTTCGGACGTCCGATAAATTCACCTTCAGGTTTCAAATTGTCATCGTGTTTTATAGGTGAACGTCTTTCCGCTGGACCAACAGGTTTCTTTTCAGGTCTTTCGAATTCTCCCTCGGGTTTCAGATTGTCCTCTGGTTTTTTGATCTCTGGTCTGTCTGCTTTTTTAGGTGAGTAATCGTCTTTCGGTCGACCCTCGAACGGACCTTCCGGTTTCAGATTATCCGGATGTTTCACGATATCTACACGCTCTCCTTTCACTACCTTGAAATCGTCTCTCGTTCTGATATCAGTGAACTCGCCCTCCATATGCAAATTGTCCTGATATTTAGTGACCTCGGCTCTTTCGCGAATTAAGAAGTCCGTATATTCATCTCTGGACCTGTAAGTCTCTATATTTCCTTCCATTCGCAAGTTGTCCGTACGTTTGACGATATCTACTCGTTCACCACGAACGGGAACAAAATCGTCTTTTGGACGACCTTCGAATGGTCCCTCGGGTTTAAGATTATCCTCGGGTCTTTTAACATCGGCGCGTTCTCCTCTAGTCGGTTTGTAATCGTCCTTTGGTCTACCAACGAATTCTCCTTCAGGTTTCAAATTATCGGGATGTTTAATCGGAGATCTTCTCTCAGCAGGTTTCACTGGAGATTTTTCTGGTTTCTCAAATTCACCTTCCGGACGTAGATTATCTTGTGGTCTCTTAATATCTGCGCGTTCTCCGCGTTTAGGAGCTTCTTCTTTTGGCTTTCCGATGAAGTCGCCTTCAGGTTTCAAGTTATCAGGATGTTTAATAGGAGTACGTTTCTCAGCTGGCCCCAAGGGTTGCTTCTCAGGTCTTTCGAAATCACCTTCTGGTTTCAGGTTATCTTCTGGTCTCTTAACATCGGCTCTCTCTCCCTTAGTCGGTGACTCTTCCTTTGGTCGTCCAATAAATTCTCCTTCAGGTTTCAAGTTGTCTTGAGGTCTCTTCGCAACTGGTCTCTCGGCAGGTCTGAATTTCTCAGGTTGCGGTCTTTCAAAATCACCTTCAGGGCGCAAATTATCCTCGTGTTTGATCGGTGTTCTTCTCTCAGCTGGACCTACAGGCTTCCTCTCCGGAACTTCGAATTCTCCTTCGGGATATAAATTGTCCTTTGGTCTCTTTACGTCCGCTCTTTCGCCTTTTCGCGGTGCTTCCTCTTTGGGCCGACCAACGAAGTCTCCTTCTGGTTTTAGATTGTCTGTTGGTTTCTTGACAATTGGCCTTTCAGCGGGTCTAAACTCTTCTGGTTTAGGTCTTTCAAATTCCCCTTCTGGTTTCAAATTATCAGCATGTTTGATCGGAGTTCTCTTTTCAGCAGGACCAACAGGTTGCTTCTCTGGCCTCTCAAATTCCCCTTCAGGTCGCAAATTGTCTTTAGGTTTCTTAATCGGAGCTCTCTCACCTTGTTTAGGCGCTTCCTCTTTTGGTCTGCCAATAAATTCTCCTTCTGGTTTGAGATTATCTTCTGGTCTCTTTACTTCCGGTCTCTCTGCTCTCTTAGGAGAATAATCGTCCTTTGGACGACCCTCGAATGGACCCTCCGGTCTTAAATTGTCAGGATGCTTCACGATATCAACTCTCTCGCCCCTTACAACCTTAAAATCGTCTCTGGTCCTAACATCGGTAAATTCGCCTTCCATACGCAAATTGTCTTGATACTTGGTAACTTCGGCTCTCTCACGAATTAAGAAGTCCGTATATTCGTCTCTTGATCTGTAAGTTTCGATGTTACCTTCCATTCGAAGGTTGTCCGTGCGTCTGATGATATCCATTCGTTCGCCATGAACCGGTTGATAGTCGTCCTTAGGCCTGCCCTCGAATGGACCTTCTGGTTTCAAATTGTCTTCAGGTCTTTTAACAACAGCTCTGTCGCCTTTAGTAGGAGTGAAATCATCTTTAGGCTTACCAACGAATTCTCCTTCGGGTTTGAGGTTATCCGGATGTTTAATCGGTGTACGTTTCTCTGCTGGACCAACCGTAGGCTTTTCTGGCCTCTCGAATTCGCCTTCAGGATACAAATTGTCCTGAGGTCTTCGAACCTCGGGACGTTCGGCTGTTTTTGGAGAGAAATCATCTTTTGGACGACCTTCGAAGGGTCCTTCAGGTTTCAAATTATCTTGAGGACGTTTTACGTCGGCACGTTCTCCTCTAGTTGGTTTGTAATCGTCTTTAGGTCTTCCTTCGAAAGGACCTTCTGATCTCAAATTGTCCTGAGGCCTCCTCACTTCCGGACGTTCAGCTGTTTTCGGTGAGAAATCATCTTTAGGTCTTCCTTCGAAAGGTCCCTCAGGGCGAAGGTTATCATCGTGCTTAATGGGCGTTCTACGTTCAGCTGGGACGAATGGAACACGTTCTCTACCTGGAAAATCGCCTTCAGGAAACAGCTCATCCGGATGTCGGACAATCGGCGCTCTTTCGCCGGGACCATAAGGAACAGGCGATGGTCTCTCGAATTCTCCTTCTGGATACAAGTTATCTGGATGTTTAATAGGTGTACGTCTCTCACCAGGGGTATATTCGTGTCTTGGTCGATCTTCAAACTGTCCTTCAGGTCGAAGATTGTCCTGTGGTCTTTTGACTTCTGGACGTTCAGCTGTTTTCGGTGTGAAATCGTCCTTAGGACGTCCTTCGAATGGACCTTCCGGTCTCAAATTATCTTGTGGTCTCTTTACCTCTGGACGTTCAGCTATTTTCGGTGAGAAATCATCTTTAGGTCTTCCTTCGAACGGACCCTCTGGTCTCAAATTATCTTCTGGACGTTTCACGTCCGCACGTTCACCTCTGGTTGGTACATAATCATCCTTGGGTCGTCCTTCGAATGGTCCTTCAGGTCTTAAATTATCCTGAGGTCTTCTCACTTCTGGCCTTTCCGCCGATTTCGGCAAGAAATCATCTTTAGGTCGACCTTCGAACGGCCCTTCCGGTCTCAGATTATCCTCAGGTCTTCTAACCTCTGGTCTTTCACCTCGTTTGGGTGAAAAATCATCTTTTGGACGTCCTTCGAATGGTCCTTCGGGTCTCAAATTGTCCTGCGGCCTCTTCACTTCCGGACGTTCAGCTGTTTTTGGTGTGAAGTCATCCTTTGGACGTCCTTCGAACGGTCCTTCGGGTCTCAGATTATCTTCAGGCCTCTTAACATCGGCTCTTTCGCCTCTGGTTGGTTTATAATCATCTTTAGGTCTACCTTCGAACGGACCTTCGGGTCTCAAATTATCCTGTGGCCGCCTTACTTCCGGACGTTCAGCAGTTTTTGGTGTAAAGTCATCCTTTGGACGTCCTTCGAACGGTCCTTCTGGTCTCAGATTATCTTCAGGCCTCTTAACATCAGCTCTTTCGCCTCTGGTTGGCTTGTAATCATCCTTGGGTCTGCCTTCGAAAGGTCCTTCTGGTCTCAAATTATCCTCAGGTCTTCTAACTTCTGGTCTTTCACCTCGTTTGGGTGAAAAATCATCCTTTGGACGTCCTTCGAATGGTCCTTCGGGTCTCAAATTGTCCTGTGGTCTCTTCACTTCCGGACGTTCAGCTGTTTTTGGTGTGAAGTCATCCTTTGGACGTCCTTCGAACGGTCCTTCGGGTCTCAGATTATCTTCAGGCCTCTTAACATCGGCTCTTTCGCCTCTGGTTGGTTTATAATCATCTTTAGGTCTACCTTCGAACGGACCTTCGGGTCTCAAATTATCCTGTGGCCGCCTTACTTCCGGACGTTCAGCAGTTTTTGGTGTAAAGTCATCCTTTGGACGTCCTTCGAACGGTCCTTCTGGTCTCAGATTATCTTCAGGCCTCTTAACATCAGCTCTTTCGCCTCTCGTTGGTTTGTAATCATCCTTGGGTCTGCCTTCGAAAGGTCCTTCTGGTCTCAAATTGTCCTCAGGTCTTCTAACTTCTGGTCTTTCACCTCGTTTGGGTGAGAAATCATCCTTTGGACGTCCTTCGAATGGTCCTTCGGGTCTCAAATTGTCCTGTGGTCTCTTTACTTCCGGACGTTCAGCTATTTTTGGTGAGAAATCATCCTTTGGACGCCCCTCGAACGGTCCTTCGGGTCTCAGATTATCTTCAGGCCTCTTAACATCAACTCTTTCGCCTCTGGTTGGTTTGTAATCGTCTTTAGGTCGACCTTCGAACGGTCCTTCCGGTCTCAAATTATCCTCAGGTCTTCTAACCTCTGGTCTTTCACCTCGCTTCGGTGAAAAATCATCCTTTGGACGTCCTTCGAACGGACCTTCGGGTCTCAGATTATCTTGTGGCCTCTTCACTTCCGGACGTTCAGCTGTTTTCGGTGTGAAATCATCCTTCGGGCGCCCTTCGAATGGTCCTTCAGGTCGCAAGTTATCCTGAGGCCTCCTTACTTCTGGTCTTTCCGCTGTTTTAGGCATGAAATCATCCTTAGGGCGTCCTTCGAATGGTCCTTCGGGTCTTAAATTATCTTCAGGTCTCTTGATATCTGCTCTATCTCCTCTAGTAGGTTTATAGTCGTCTTTAGGTCGTCCTTCGAATGGCCCTTCTGGTCTCAAGTTGTCCTCGGGTCTCTTAACTTCCGGGCGTTCAGCTGTTTTCGGTGAATAATCGTCTTTTGGACGTCCTTCGAACGGTCCTTCGGGCTTCAAGTTATCCTGTGGTCTCTTCACGTCTGCTCTTTCGCCTCCGGTTGGTTTATAATCGTCTTTCGGTCTTCCTTCGAACGGTCCTTCAGGTCGCAAATTGTCCTTGGGTTTCTGCGGTTCCGGTCTCTTCATTATCTGTGGCACAACGTAGTCGTCCTTAGTATGAGGCACTCCTTCAAACGGTCCTTCTGGTCTCAAATTATCGTCTCGTCTAATCACGGCAGTGCTTCTATAGTCGGTTTGATCGAAACTTTGATACTGTTCCTGAGTCGTTGTGGTGCTTTCCACGATATCGGTCTTGCCATAGAAGCGGTCATCCTCGTCGGTGTAGTCGAGTCGTCGTCGAGGTGTCCTCTCAACTATGTCGTACGTGTGGAAATCCTCTTTATGATGAGAGGTACCCTAAAGCACATTTCGTACTAGATCAGCGATTAGTGTAGAGATAAGAGTAACTGGGACAATGGACTCGCTTTCTGAATATCGTTTTAATACGGAGTAAAGGGAAAGTTAGAACGAGACGAGATAAATCATATTTTTAATAAATATTTGCCAGCTTTCCAATATTTTTTAATTACAAAATTACAATTTCATTTCTTGTCAAAGCTGTCAGAGAGTATGACGCGTTTAAATTTTCCATCGAAAGTTAATATACAAATAAAAGATTGTCATCCGTAATTTCCAATTTCCAAAATTACTTACTGTGAATTCACCCTCTCCCACTGTGAGGTTATCCGTACGTTTGATGATCTCGGCACGTTGAACCGTTCGATGATCGACGTATTCGGATCTTGTAGTGGTCGAGTCGATGAATTCACCCTCGACCTTTGTATAGGTGTTGCGACGTACTGGTCTGGGACGTTCACCGGGTGTACCGGTGAACACCAGCTCCGTGGTGGTTGTACCTGCACATACAAGTTAAATGTTACGACAATACGAATTAATTATAGTAAAAAGATCTAACTACAATAAGAACGACAAATGATCAAATGATCAAATGAACATATTTATGATATCTTTAATATTACGTTTCTCGAAATTTCAGATTTGTCTTGAAAAGGTGATCTTCAATGTTCATACAATGTCGGGAGAAATTGCAAGTTTCTATTAAAAAGGAACGGTTTAAACTGATGAAATCGATGTTCTAAATCTCAGTTCGCGCCATATCTTTCTCTATAAAATCGGGAAAAATGTACAGCCATTATTCATAATTGATAAACCAAAAATTTTCGTTATAGTCGTCAAAAAATTCGACCTCGCACGAGTTAAAAAATGTGTTAGAAACGAAGCTCACTGTCGAAGTCTCCTTCCGGTCTGAGATTATCCTGAGGTCGCCTGACAGGCGTTCGATCTCCATATTTCGGGGCTTCTTCCTTCGGTCTTCCAATGAATTCGCCTTCTGGCTTCAAGTTATCCTGCGGCTTTTTCACCGGAGCTTTCTCTCCTTTCGTTGGAGCTTCCTCCTTGGGTCTACCGATGAACTCACCCTCCGGTTTCAGGTTATCCTGCGGTTTCCTTACCGGTGCTCTCTCGCCCCTTGTCACCACATAGTCTGTTCGCCTCTCTCCGATGAATTCTCCTTCCATCCGAAGATGGTCTTCGTGGTGGTACACGGTCTGCCTGTCGACGTGTTTCTCATCGAATTCCTCGCGATAGGAAGTCACCGCGTGGACGGGGCCATCTCGAGGAATCTCAAGGTGATCTTGTGGCAGATTGTGCGGACAGCGATGTCGTCTGAAAAATTCCAACATCGACCATGATATAGAAAAGTTAAAAGAATTCGTTGCACGTCGTAGCTCGATGGAATATGGTGAAAATATCATGATACGATCGTTGGCACATTGATAAACCAGTAACTCGACATTTTTTAATTTTGCCTCAACCAAATCAGGTGGCTGTGCTTTGACTTTGCAACCAATAACATATATAGCTACTATAATAAAATATGAATTTGAAATGGACGTGTGTCGAATTATGTATTTCAATACAGCTAAATAGACCAAGTCTGTTCGATATAATTCTCCCATATGGCGCAAAGATATTATCTAACGATAAATTATAATCGGTGAATTTTTAGAAATTCCGTTTGAAAAACCAGAGTATCTTTCCATTGAATTATCTTAACTGATCGTTACATCTGTTGACTTACGGATTTATTGCTGCTACGTGACTTAGGTCTGCTGCGCAGGATTTGCAAACATCTACGTGGAAAATTTTTAATGAAAATATTTATAGAATGTCCCGTAATTTTAACGAACAAAGAGAGAAATAATTAATTGTCCCGTGAAACTGAAATCCTTGCCAAGTGTAACGACTAATCTCTCGTCAGTAGGGAATCCTAATTGGACATCGAGCCTGATTTCAACGTGGCTCGCGAATATTCATGCACCTCGGCCGTGCTAGATTACCAGCATTGGCCCATTGATAAACTGGCTGGTATTGCAGTCGTGAACGTCACCGTAGTCACGCACGTGATCATTGTCGTACTAGCACGAGTTGCATGTTTCTTGTTCACGACCGCTTCGTTAGATTCCGTGTACATAGTTCATCGGGCTAAGTAATTGAAATACGCTTCGAATCGAATCCACGTTCCTATCCATCAGATTACTCGTTCATCACCGTTGGTCGGCAAAAAAATGTATAAATCCCCGTGCCATTATCGAACTATGCTTTGTCTCTTGTTCGTACGATCGTTCCATGCGATCAATCGAACATTATGGAAATGTCAACCTTGATAGAACCTTTTGTATCCTGTCCCGTTTCAGACACGCGTGTTTACCAGTCCAAGTCTCACGCCACACACAAGTCCACATCCGATTAATTACATTCATGTTGCGTTAATAGCGGATTGCTGTAAGACGCGGCTGGTTTGGTTCAACGTCCTCAGACGAGTTTCTCAATGCGTTAAGTGCCGTGGAGGTCATTCGTATTAGATTAGTCTATGACGCCGTTTAAATCGTTACATCGCTGACACTTTTATACCGTTCGTAAAATTTCTACTACTCTGTACGTTATAAACGTTAACGTACAATAATAATATCGAAATGACGATTGTAAAATAGGAAATGCGATGTAACGCGTTTAAACAATTTTATTCTGTTTATTGGGATACACGTGGCATTTTGATTCTTTTAGAATCGAATTTTTTGAATAGTCCTGTGTTCGGAGAATTAGTAATTTTAGGAATAATACGAATATGTCGTGTACGTTTCGATTTTCTGTAACCAATGTATTTTTTGTCTACTCGGTGTAAATACTTTTCGAAATTGTAGTTTGCAATTGCAATAATAGATCGAAACGAGACATCGTGCATCGAAATGAACATACGGAATACGATATTGAATGTGTAAATGTAATTAATCGATACATTTAAGGGGAACAAATGAAAATTATGTTTCCTATTAGCGAAATTTCGCATGATTTTCGACCAATTTCATCAGTTCATGTAACTAACCGAACATGATTCGATAATATTTATTGTTTCAGAACACCGTATTTGGTAATTAACGAGCGAAGGAAATATCGACATCGTTCGACGTTCGCGCAACGATACAGCAATCTCCATGTCAATTAAGGCGGGCGTAGCTTGTCAAAATGCCAACGCACGTTCCTCTTTCCAACCCCCTGGCGTGCGTTTAATATCGATGACAGACTGACGCGGTGCGTAACACAATCAACGATTAAAAATGTATAACATTGAACATCATAAATGCACCTTGATGCGCGATCGTTCCGAAAATGCTAACGTTTAATCGTACGAAGTGCTTCTACTCCAGATTCTTTCTATTTTCATAGAACACCGTACGATCTTCAACTTTTACACGGGCAAGAAAAAGCTTAGAGGTAAGTTCGAAGCTTCGATATTGATAATCTTAGCATAAACTTCAACGTGGAAAATACTAATTATACAAAATGATACGCATCACGTAAAAATAACATAAAATGAGAATTCGGAGCGGCTTTTCCACGCTTTGGCTACAAAATACAGAAACTTTTAAAAGAAACGCAGAAAAGCGCGCACAAGATTGGACACGCTAAGGTTAATTAGAACCGAAAACATTTTATTAACGTGTTAAAGTAAGTACACGCCGGTGCAAAGGCTTTATCTATTCAGTTTCGCGGCAGGCCATTTGGAAATTGGAAACCTGTCAAAGAGAGATTTCGCAAGCATCCTGCTCGCGATTCACCGCACGTATCCGATGCGTTCGAATGCATCGGCTTTGCAAAAGATAAAAAAAGCGGAGGAAAAACAGAAAAAAGATGGAAGGAACACACAGGAGG